TTCTGCTGTTTCACTTACATGCAATCACGTATTCTGCAAGTAAGCTTCCTCATGCTTTGCTTTTAATGCTTGGTTCTAATTTTTAAACAATTGCTGGAATTTTCTTTTTTCATTCTCATTTTAAAATAATTGGGGTAACAATCCTGATGCTATAACCTTCTACTTGTCTTCAGTGCGTGCATCATGAAATCCATGAAACTTGGTTCTAATTGTCCGGTTTGTAAAGTCCCATATCATCGAAGAGGTAATTCCATGCTTTGCTCTCAAAGTATGCCCTAATTGTCATATTGTAACTATGACCTAAATTGATTAGTGCTTTAAAATGTGCTAAAATTATTTTTGTCAAACTTGAGAAAGTCATATTTACTTGAGTAGCTGACACTTAACGTTTTTGGTAATGACTATCTGATATTCTTGACTTAAGTGTAAAATTTGGCCTTCAATGTTTGTCTCTAAGATGTATTAATACTAGACTTTTATTCCAAGAATTTATGGATTTGGCCTATTCAGGTGAGATGACAGTTTTCTGTACTGATGTTTTCTATAATAATATGCACCATGATAGGAGATCACTGTTTTCAAGCTCTGGTAGATAAGACATAGCCAGCAATCCTCCTCTTCTCCTTGTATAACTTCTTCAGTTTGCTTCTATGTTGAGGTTCTGTGATTAGGATTGTAGATTGTGTTCTTGCATTCACTTGCATATCTTTTTTTGGGTTGATAGTAAATTGAGTTGCAAGCAATTGTGTCTAATATATTAAATGTTGCTTACTAAATTCGATAAGTTATTTGGAAATGAGCAACTTAGTTTTTGCGTTTCCACCTCTTTCAAGCTCCATTCTATCTTCTATGCCATTGACTTCTGGTAAACAATCTTTGCAGAGCTTCGTGCTGCTCCTCACATGGACAGCTTGGTGAGCATTTACAAAAGCATGGAAGCTGCTTCAGGAGTAAATATATTTCTCACTCAAACTGCAGCTACAAATAAACCAAGTAATGTACCAGCACATTCACTTATAATAGCAGGCCTAGCAAAATGAGTATGGTATTTCTTTGGCAGCCAACAAAATGAAAAGGACTAGAACCTCGTGGATGTGCAAAATGTCCATAAAGAATGAATGCACAGTTGCTTCGATTATTATTATTTTTCGTTTGTAGGGATTTCAGTCCTCAGAATAAGTTCTTTATGATATCCTCTTTCAAATTGGAGCTGATCTAAGCCTTTTCTTCTTCTTAAGTGATTTTCCCCAAAGAATTCAATACTTTCCATTGTGCTGTGGCATTTGCGTCCTATGTTCTTTTTAGTTCAATGGGAATTATAATGTAATTCAATAGTTTGGTCATTTACTTTTTCATATGTTGCAGATGAAGAAAATTCTGTTAAAGGTGATCTTGATCGACCTGGAAAAATAATTGGTGGCACATGTCAAGATACTATGGA